GAATCCCACCTCTCCCAGCACACTGAGCTCAGCCTTCTTCCTGCTTCTGGGCTCCTTCTTGGTGTTCCACCTACCCTAGGACCCCATCAAGGTCACCTGCTCCAGGAAGACCCCCAGGCATGGGAGAGAAGATGCTCAGGAGCAGCTGAGTCAGACTTGGCTTCTTAGAATAATCCAGTTTCATCATCAGTGGGAGTGAAGGTAGCCTTCCATCTCCTGGGCCACAAGCTCCTCAGACCTCAGGTATCATCAGACTAGGCTGCAAGGGGGCTGCCCCACAGGTCTTGAAGACTCTGGGAGGATCTGAGAGAAGGATGCCTGAATTGGTGGTGCAGACCACCCTGAACATCTAGCTGGGCAGGCCCAAGAGGGTACTTAGTTTAAGCCCATGGCCTTGGCAGATGCACAAGGAGACCAATACTTTGTATATTGGCAGGGTATAAGAACATGTTTTGGAAACATAAGTACCTTCCAGGCTATAGATCTGTGGGAAAGAGGGAATAATTAAGAACGACTGCCAGATCAAAGTTAGCTCCAACCACCTGCTGCCCTAACTATCTGAAACTTAGTGGTCAGCTGGGAGCATCCCAACAAGAGAGGCAAAGCTGTGCAGGTTGATGGGGGGGATGCTTGGCTGGGGCTCTGGACCTGCATTCCAACATGGGAGCAGCTCTAGGCCTTGATGTTTGGGGGTGAGGGGGAGACATGGCAGCCCAAGGTTTCTACCACTCTCTGGATCTGACCCTGAAGCATGACTCCGTGAGGGCTAGGACTGCCCGTCTTGTTCACAGAACCCCTACCAAGCCCATAGGTTAATGTTTGAAAACAAAGAGTTCTGGGAATGGAGAGAGGAATATCTCTGCCTGGATCTATTCCTACAAGAGAAGAAAATGTTGGGGTTCAGGGAGATAATACTGAGAGTGGCAGGACACTCCCAGGGCTTGGCTGATAACACATCCAATTACACCAGCCACCCAGTTATTAAGCAGTTATGTGACCACAAGCAAATCTTCCTGTACTTCCATTCCTTAGTAAATATCAGCAGCACTTATTCTATCATTGGGATAAAAATGACACAATAGAAGGGAAAGTATGAGGATGGGAAAGGGAGGACGCACTGTTCAAATCTCAGTCTATCATTATTGTAAGACCTGCGAATAACAGAAACATCAAGATCAATCTGTGTGCTTGGGAAGCAGAGTGGCCACAGCTGTGAGGCCCGAGAGAGCAGACCTGTCCCCCACCAGCTCTGACTCAGTTGAAGCAGGGCTGGTGCTAGGGCTCTGTCTCTGTACTGATGGAGTTTCAGGGAGAGGACAGGGCTGGCTCCAGGGAGAGAAGTTGGAGCAACCCAAGGGTCAGGAGCACCCCAGATTGTTCCAGCCCTTCATCAGGCTCTGTCCAGCCTCCCAGAGAAGCATGAACCTCCCTAGTAGGATGCTAACCTGGCACTGCTTGCCTCCACCATCACAGGGAAGCCAAGCCAAAGGAAAAGAGAGGTGTGTGTGCGTGTGTGTGTATGTGTGTGCGTGTGCACACACATACACACACACACAGGTACAAGAATTACATTCTCTGCCCTGTTCTCCCAATGTACACACACACACACACACACACACACACACACACACACACACACACTCCCTGTTTTCCCTCCTTTTAGGAAATGGGTAATTTCAAGGATGGATCTCAGACCATACTCCCTCCCTCATTCTTCCCTCTCAGTCAGCCCCTGAATTCTTCCACCCACTGTGGCTTTCCTAAAGTTGGGACAAAAATGGGACCCCCTACATACATACAACCCAGACTGATAGGAAGCAGAAGGGGATGCCTCCCCTCCCTGCCCACACCTGGGCAATCACAAGGCCTCCATAACCGAGAGCCTTGTCCTCCTCCTCAGCCTCCTGTCCTTGGGTGCTGACCCACCCCTGCTTCTCCTGCTCCTGAGTGGGTCCTCCTGCCAACCCTGAGCACTGTTTCCTGACAAGTCCCCTGCACGCAGCTCTGTGCCCTGTCTGAGAAGCTGAGGCAGCTCAGAGTTTCCAGAGTTGTTCAAGGTGGAAGGAAGACCCACCGGCAGCCCAGAAATTCTGTCAGGACATAGGTGTGACTCAAGAAACGGGGGAAAGACAAAAGCCTGTCACAGGGTTGGACTGCTGTAGCATTGCCATGCTGGTCTCACCCTGGAGTCTCAGAGGATGGCAAAGAGCCATGGCTTGGTGACTGTCATGGGCTTGGCTGAAACATGGACAGACAATGGGCTCAGAAGGGAAGACTCCTGGTACTCCTGACTCACCGATGCCTGGTCAAGTCACAATTGCTCAGCTGGGAAAGCTCTGGCGCCTGTCAGCCTGCATCCCTTCCTTCGGGCAAGGGAACTGGCTGGGTCACCTGTGCACTGGCTCCACCTCAGCAGCTACCTTGGACATCACCCAAGGTGATGATGCCCCTCTATGGGACTGTTCTCCACAGTCATTTCTGCCACAGAGGCAGGAGCTGCTGTTTTTCTTGTGCGTCATTAACAGATAGATGACAATCATCATAGCCATCTTGCAAATGGAGAAGTGAAGGCAGAGAACTGTTAACTGAGTTAGATTCATTAGAAATCCGAGGTATGATCCCTGCTGTGCTGACTCCCCCATCAAGGACTCTGATCCTTTCTGGGAGCAGCTGGCATGCATATCCATGACCTCAGGGCTGAAAGGAGGCTGGCCATGTGGAGGTCAGGAGGAGGTGGGGCATGTCAGCGTGTCCAGCCTGAGCCTGGGTGGCTGGATCTGCTGAGCAGGTTTGAGAGCCACACCAGCACCTCCTCTCCTGCTGCTGTGGGCCTGCTGCCTCAGAAGCCTACTCTGGGTCATCCTGGAGGCCTGAGTCTCTCTCGGGCCAGACAGTGTGTCTCCTGCTGCCAGGCTCCAGGGCAGAGGGTAGGGTCCTTGCCTGGAGTTTCCTGGCATGGGTTCTGCCCCCCAGGCAGGTTCACAGGGGATGTGCTTTAGGGGAGGGAAGACAGGACGGAACTGAACAGAGCTTGCAAGGCCCTTCTCATCACTGATCATAAATCCTGATTTCTGGAAGACTGTTAGTCCCCAGAAGGGATCAGCTGTCCTCTGGAGCCTTTGCCCAGCATCTTCTCTATCCCTAGCCACCAAGATGTGTTCAACGGCAGAGGACTGGGGATCGGAGTTATGAGGAAGAGGGCAGAAGATGCTAGTTACATCTGGCCTATAGTAGTCTCTACCGTGGAGAATTGGTGGTGTCCCCTGACTGGCTGAGACAGAGCCTCTGGGCCTGGGAGGCACATCTGGGGAGCAGCCAGCCAGCCTGGAGCCCTGCTGTGGTCCCAGAGACCATGCAGGGGCAGTGGGGTTGCTGGCAGCCACTCTGGGAGCAAGCTCCTCCATAGCTCCTTCCCAAGGGGCAGGGTCTGGCTTTCTCTGCCACACCCCCACACGCTGGCCTCGGAACACACATATCTTTGTTAATTTATGGAAACAATAAGGCTCCTCAGGGACCACCACTCCCGGCCAAACAGTCCTGCCCACACCCAGCTGTTTATCTCAGCTGCTGTGGAAAGAAAAGCAGGGCTCCCCGCCCCCATGCCACCAGGGCAAGGCCCCAACGCTGCCACACACATGCCATACATATGCAGTCTCTCTCAGTTCACGGTGAAAACAAACGCCAGGGCCTGGAGATGGCTGGACAACAGAGCCGTGAGGACAGAAGCTGGAAGAGGCCTGGTGTGGAGAGCTCTCTATTGAACACAGAGTCCTGCCTCTGCCCGGCTCTCCCACCCACTCCCAGGGCCTCACTGTCCCCCGTTCCTCAGCCTTGGGCCCCAGCGCAGATCCACTCCGAGGTCCTCCTTAGCCACCGGTCATCACAGGGGACAGGTGCCTCCATGCTGCCCACTCCAGGGCCTCGAGTTACTCCACGGAGAGCCCTGCCCAGCTATGGCTGGCCTGCAGGCCTCTTGGCCCAGGCTTGCTCTGGCTTTCCCCGCAGGAAGTGCCTGCTCCAGCCTCAGCCCCTCCTCACGGCTCCAGCTCCCGGGAGAGGCGGGAGAGTTCACGCTGGTTGTCGATGACCTTCAGCTGCTGGACATAAGCCCAGGTGCTGGCTGGACTCCGGGTGCTCAGGGACTGCTCCGAGCCTGGTAGGGGGAGAGCTGTCAGGGAGGTACCACTGCCACTTCACAGAACCCACCCTGACCCCCTCCACGGAGCTTTCCTGCTTCACTACCACCTGCCAGAGCTCGTCACCAGTGCCCAAGACTGCCACCCCTGCACACCCCCCTCAGATTTGGAGGACAAACTAAGACTACAGCTAAAAGTACAGTCTAAAAAAAAATAGATTAAAGATTTCATACAGCATAATACCTCTTTACTAAGTTCAATGATATCTAAAACTAAAAAATATTTTGTCATTTTATACACACACACACACACACACACACACACATATTCATGTTTGATTTCAAAGGTGTGTGGTATGAGAGAGAGATAAAGCTATTCTGAAAAACAATGAATGACTCAAAATTCAGGATACAGGTTACCCTGATTGGGGAGAGCCAAGAGGACGGGGTATGTAAGTCATCATTGATGATCTCATACTTGACTTGGGCCCAGAGGTACTCAACATATTGTCAGAGTAAATGCATACATAAGACAAGGGGCAAGGATGGCACTGTTGTATGGACCACGGGTTATGACTGACCCCACTTAATGCAACTAGGGTCCAGTCAAACAGAAGCAGGCTGGAGTCAAGGGCTTGGGTCGAGCTCCATCACGCCCACTCTGTCCTTCAGCAAGCTGTTTCAATGCTCCAGCTGTTTCCTCATGTTTAAGTGGAGACCACAGCATCGCCTGTCTTGCGGATGTTGTATAGAGGTCCCCATATCAGGAATACAAGGGCTTGGCTCTGTCCTGGCACATGGCCAGTGCCCAGAGAATGTCCACCATGCTAACTATGGTGAGCGTTCACCCCTGCCCCATGCTTACATGTGGAAATCCTCGATGCCTGGCTGTCCTCGTGAAAGTGGGACACTCGGCTTCTGAGTGGTGAGAGAGGCACTGGGTGGGGTGAGAGGTAGGAGGAGTCAGGGAGATGGGCCATGCCAGAGCCTTACAGGGACACGAGGTGGGGAGGGATCCCGCCCAGGAGAACCAGGCCTCTCACCAGTGCTGTGGCTTCGGCAGTGGTGCAGCATCCTCACGGCTCTGGCCATCATTCTCTGTGGGCAACACAAGGGCACGAAGTCAGGCCTGCAGGATGGCAGCCCGTCTTGCCCATGGGGAAGCTGGGAATCTGAGCTCCCTTTGAACTGGGTGTCCTTGGGACTAGTGGGTGGTAAGAGATGGGGTCTTGGCTGCTTCACCCTGGTACACCAGAGAAGGGACCGGGCAGAGGATGCAAGACAGCTCAGGAAGGGCGTAGAGAGAGGGGACTGGAAAGGGCTCTTGTATGTTTGAGGCTGATCCCCAGCAGCCCCCAATGGAGACCAGGCCCCCCGGTGGGCTGTGGAGTAAGGCAGGGGCTACTTAACAGGCATTCATATTTCTATTATTAATAACAAGTCTCAGGCACCTCCCAGGCTGCCCCTTCCTGGACCACCATCATACACCCCAATCACGCCAGTGGCAGATGCCCACTCTGCCTGAACTCACCATCTTCTCAAAGTTGATGAGATTCTCCACTAGTGTATGGTTCCCCTCGTGGATGAAGGTCATGTCTGCAAAGGGATGGTTTTGCTTCTGGGTTCCCAGACTCCGTTCCCCTCCTGTAGCCCAGGAAAGGGGAAGGAATAATAACGGGGAACCTAGCCTGTTCCACCCACATGGGCCTCGGCTTCTAGCTCCTCTCCAATCTGCAGCTATTCCCAGGTTCCAGGGCCTCAGATCATGGCCCTCCAGCATCACCCTATTTGCCTTTCCATCTTAACTCTTCTTCTGCCTGAGAGCTCCTAACCCACGCTCCCTGGGGCATCAACACAAGAGTGCTGGAAGGTCCCTGACAACTCAGGCATGAGGACTGGCCCCCCTTACCTTTGAGGAGAAGGGGCATGAAGGGGATGACGGGAGGGGAGAGCTTGGTGAGGGCCAGTCGATACACTCGGTGGTTCCACGAAGGGTCCTGATGCGGGGGAAGCCACAGAGAGAGTCCTGCACACCACAAGCCACCGCAGCCCCCAACAACAAAACATCCCACCCCACCCAGAAGGGGCAGAATTCCCATCCACATGGCCACAGAAAGAGGCTCCATGTGCAGCTTCTCCTTGGACCCAGATGCCACTGAGTGGCCCTCTGTGGCAGGCTGGAGGGGGCCTGAGGCCACTCACACTGCCAGTCTGCGTGCAGGTGGCTTCCCAGTCTCCCACCGGCCCCCAAGGAACTTCATGGTTATTAGTCACAGGGCCCTGAGGGTTCTGGGAAAACTCTGTGTGTCTCTCTGGTGAGTAAATTCCTCTAAACCTCTTGAGCCCCGTGAGGTGAATTGTTTTCTCAAGAGCTCTAGGGCTCTGCCAATAATACCTTGGCTCCATTCTTTCCCGAACACTTCAAAACCCTCAAAAATTCCAGGAGGTGGAGAGTTCAGCCTCTCAATTTATTCCTTACCCTACCCTTGGGGGTCCTGCAGGGCCCTCTGCCCAGGCCTGACTCACAGTGGGCACTTAGCACCAGGCCTACTTCCTGGGTCCTTGAACAAAAGACCTGGAGCCCAATGTCTCCCTGACACTCCCTCGCAACTAAGACCCAGGCCACCCCATACGCCCTGTCCTGGTCTCCTATCCTCCATACATTGAGTGGTATGGCAAAGCACACAAACTCTACAACAACGCTACGTGCCCCATCCCTAGCCATCTCCCCAGACTCACAGATCAGGGGGAACTAGGCCCTAGGTCAGCATTAGGAACTCTGAAAGTGACTGAAGACAGGCAGAAAGGCTACTGAGAAGCCGACCAGGGTTTCTGAGGGAAGGAGCACAGCCCAGCACTCACCAGCAGCCTCTCCAGGGCTGAGTATAACTTCCGGACTTTGTGGGGCAGTCGCTGTGGAGGAGAAGTGGGTGAGCTGCCACCCATGGGATGGGACTCCAAAAGTGAGAGCCCCACCCCCAACCAGGACTCCCAGGATAGGAAGGAGGCCTGACCTCAGGCCAGGGATCCTCCAGGGGTACCTACCTCCCAGGTGTGGGCCAGGCGACTGATGGCTGAGTTGCTAAGGCCAAACATGATGGCAAAGAAGGAATTGAGATTCTTTTGCTCCTTGAGGCTGTGAACAGAAGACCCAGAGACCTTCAGGGCAATCAGCCACACCCACAAGGCCCCCAAACAACAGCCAGGCCTGGGCCCAGGACCAAGCAGGCCAGCACTGCCTCTGCAGTGGGGTGGGAGGCAGAGCCTTTGGGGGACCCAGGAATACAAGGGATGACAGATTCGGCAACACAGTGAGCAGGAAGGGGGCGTTTAAGAAACGGGGGCCTCAGGGCTCCGACCACACACCCAACAGACACTCACTGAGCCGCCAGCTTGATAAACTTCCTGAGCAGCTGGGCTCTCAGGCCGGGCACAGGGCAGAGACAGAGCTCCGTAGCCACCCAGTACTGCAGCTCATTGAAGCGGCGCATGAAGCGCTCCAGGTTGGCAGTGGTGACATCCCGCAGATGCTGGGGGCCCAGTACATAGTGGATCAGCTCCACCTGGATGGGACAGAGAAGAGGTTCAGCGTATGCCAGGCCGGGCACCCCGCCACAACCTCTCCTCCCTGCAGCTCTGCCTCCTGCACCTGGTGGATACTGTTGAAGAGGTTCCAATCGTGGTCTGTCAGCTGGCCTGCCAGGTCCTTGGCGCTCACTGACTCCAGCCCCTCAGCAGAGCCCACAGTGGGTCCCAGCTGCTCTGGGTGTGGGGTCTGCAGGTAGGAGAATGCTCAGGGGGTGCCTGAGGAATCCAGGGAGAGGGATCGGGTGGGGAGAGAGGGCTTGGGGCAAAGACTCTGTGGCTTTGTTCAGAAGGACTGTGGGATAGGCAGGGGGACCGCAGGAAGTGGAGAGGGCTCTTTGGGATGTTGCAGCTACAGATTTTGGGGGCTTCCCAAGGAGGCGTCTTTCTGTCATTTTCCCCAGTGCTGCAGCCCCTCTCTGTGGAGTTCCTGTTCCCAAGGGGTGCCCTGATTACGGCAGGTCCTCTTTCCCCTTGGGAGCTGCTCCCACTCAGCACTATCATCCCCCCAATATTTAAAATCTCCCCATCAGCTGAAGCCCCCTCCTTCCTCTTCCCGCTGAAGACCTACCAGCAACCAGAGCTAGACCTCTCCTTCTTTTCCCTAAGGCCCTCCCACAGAACCCACCCCTTCCACCCCCAAAACAGAGTTCCTCCCTAGGTTCTGGCTCCCTGCCTGGTCCCTACCAGCTCATGCACTTCCTGTGGGTCGACAACAAAGAGCCGCTCGTTGAGCCCCAGGGATGTGGCCACACCACGGGCATCTGGCTGCAGGCCAACAGCATCTGCAAAGACAGCAGAGGCTGCACTGAGTGGGGGCAGGGAGGGAGGCCCCGCAGAAACACAGCGGCTAAAGCAGGGCATGTCGGTAATGCACAGCTGCACGTGCCTTCTCTCCACACCACCCCTGGCAGAACGCCCAAGGAGGCAACAAAGAGACTCGTCCAGACAGGCTGACCTTGGGCAAGGTTTCAACTTCCCTGGGCCTCAGTTTACTCCTCTGTAAAATGGAGACAATAAGACTTGCCAAGTCAGATGAGTTGACTTATGTAAATACGGCTGTAAGTAGGTGATGCAGATAAAAATCCCGTTGAAAATTGGGAAATGTCATATATGTCTTGGCGTTGACTTTTTAAATTACATTTATTTATTTATCTATTTATTTATTTATATGCAGTGCTAAGGATTGAACTCAGTGCCCCACATGTGCTAGGCAAGCACTCTACCGCTGAGCTGCACTACTGGCCCTTGGCCTTGATTTTATCAGCTCCTTGTGGGCTGGGACTATATTTTTAGTCATGTTTGAGTCTTCAGTCCCTAGACCACCAAAGTAAAGAAGACTTTGTGTGCAAGGAAAACATTAGCTCTTCTTAGGTTTATCGTTCTCATCTGTTTTACATTTCTTTTTGTGTATAGCTTTATAATTACATAATATTGATGAGATGATAAGTACATATAATTTATGAACAAATGTATACTCAATGGGAGATTGGTAATAAAATGTTGGTTACTGACATGGGCGTCAATCAGTGGTCTAAAATGTGCCTGGCACATAGTAGGGTCTCAATAAATGTGGACTTTGGGAAATTGCAACTCACCAGGTGGCCACCAGAGGGCAGTGCTTCCCAGAGCAGAGCACACAGGTGACCTCATTGGTCTTTCCTCACTTCCTAAAGGGAGAAGGCTTTTCTCATCTCCACCCCTTACCATTATTCCCTGACTGCCCCAATTCCTATCACCCTGGGCTCTAGCTGTCTGTTCTGGGATGCACCTTTCACAGAGAACAGTGTTTTTCAATGTCCCAAGTTCTCCAATGGCAGGTCACGGTAATTCTCATGCCACCATAGACTAGATACCGACTTTGCCAGGCCCCCTGCTGCTTGCTCCACACACATTACCTCTAGTTGAATACCCACCACAATACCAATTGATAGGTACAATAATAGTGCCCATTTGACAGACAAGAAAATGGAGGTTCAGAGAGGTGAAGCAACTTGCCCAGTTAGCAGTTGATCTGGGATTCCAACCCAGACATGGCATCGGGCCTGCACTCTTAACCATCCAGCTGATCTATCTTATCTGCCCATGGTACCTCTGACTCCATTGCTGACCCTCAAGAATATTTGCTGAATGTCTAAGCGAACGAGGACTACCTAAGTCCAAAGGCCAGTCACCTTCTCACTGTATGAGCTTGGGAGAAACCACTGAGTTCCCTTGACCTTCAGTTTCCCTGTCTAAATATAGGTTAAGGACCTATGTCACAGGCTTGTAATTAGGAGTCAATGAATAAATACATGAGAATGGGAACACTAGCAGCCAATACTCCTGTGGTGCTGACAGTATGCCGCAGACCATCCTGAACACTTTATAGATGAGCTCATTGGATCCTCACAGTCCCTCTAGGAGGCAGAGCTCTTATTATCCCCATTTACAGATGATGAGATTGATCACAGAGAGTTGAAGTGCCCTGCTCCAGGACACGCCGATAGTGAGCTGAAGGTCTAGTATCAGTCGCAGGCAGCAGGCTCCAGAGTTCCTGCTCCTGAGCATTCCGTGCAAAGCAGAGAAGAAGAGGGGAAAGGGATGAGATGAACCTCTGGAAATGCTGCCATCACTAACCCTGACGGCCATGGTAAGATGATGATGATGGTCTTAATTCGGAAAATCCCTTGAGGTCCCTCCAGAGACAACTCACCACCTGCAGAATTGACCTTCACCAGCACCTGCCCCTTGGTCCAGCCGTCCTTCTGGGCCAATGCTGCCATCACCTCTCTCACAGAGGCTGTCACAGGTAGCTGCAGGGTCAGCACGGAATGGTCCGGGAGGCAGATGTCATAGGGGACTGGAGAGGAGGATGGGGCTGAGCTGTGGGAGGGGTCGCCTCATCCCCCCCACCCAGGAGGGAGAAGGCAGCAATCGCCTGGGTGGGAGGGACCCCGGGGGTGGGGAAGGGCGAGGGAGGGAGAACACGGTGGGCAAGCTGAGTGCAGCCAGGTGTGGAGTCCAGGAGGCGGATGTGCCAGGCAGCCTGCAACCCCCTCAACCCAGGCACCCTGAGGTCGAGGAGAAGGGAGGCAGAGACACGG